TGTATTTAATTATTATAACAAGCTAAAATTATAAAATTATAAAAGTTATGAATTTTATATATATATATATATATATATTTATTTATTTATTAATTGTAAAAGATTATTAAAAATTATATTTAAAATTTTGTAAAAATTATGAATTATGTATATATTAAATTGAAAGTAATAGATAATAAAAAATTATAAAATCAAATTTCTTAGCACGACTTTAACTTCTTGAAATTATAAGTTTTCTTGAATTTTTTAAAAAATTAATTGTTTTTCAAAAAAAATAAAAAATATATTATATTTAAGGCACAAGAAAAGGAATTGGAAGATGCATTGAACATTGCTTTAGAAGCAGGATATAGACATATTGATACAGCAACGTCGTATGAAAATGAAAAAGTAATTGGTGACGTTCTTAAAAACTGGTTTGATTCTAAAAAACTTAAACGATCTGATATATTTATTGTTACAAAGGTAATATTAACGATAATTCATTATATCATATGTCCATATTTATAATTTTGTAAATGTCTTAAAATATTTTTATATGTGTATAATAATCAAATGGATATGATTTTAATAAATAAATGTTTTACAAAATTGATAAGATTAATTGTCAAAAAATTATTTATTATTAAAATATAAAAGATTATTAAAAATACATATTTTTTGCATATTTTTTGCTTATAGCTTCCTGCTGTAGGAAATAGAGCAGAAGATGTGGAAAAATGGATTAAAACATCATTACAAAATTTACAATTAGAATATTTAGATCTTTATTTGATTCACGTTCCGATTGGTTTTGAAAAAGTTGGGGATATTTTACATCCTTTTGACGAGAATGGCCAAATTAGACTTGATAATAGTACAAATCACGTAGAAATTTGGACCGAAATGGAGAAACAAGTGAAATGTGGCCGAACTAAAGCAATTGGATTATCAAATTTTAATATTTCTCAAATCAAGCGAATTTTAAAAAACACGAAAATGAAAATATCAATGCTGCAGATTGAATTGCATATTTATTTTCAACAAAAGGAACTGGTAAAATCTTTTTTTAAATCTTTATTATAGAATTATCAACAATTTTATTTTATAAAAAAAATAACATTTTTTTAGGTAAAATTTTGCAAGCAAGAAAATATTCCTATAACGGCTTACTCGCCACTTGGCTCACGTAGTCTTGTTAAATTATTGAATAAAACAGAAGAAATTTCAGATATGTTACAAAACGATGTAGTAATGGAAATAGCAAAAAACTATAAGAAATCATCTGCACAAATTTTATTAAAATATATTGTACAAAATGGAATCGTAGTTATCCCTAAAAGTACAAATCCTCAAAGAATTAAGGAAAACATACAACTTTTTGATTGGGAACTTAATCCGGAAGATATGAAAAAATTATATAATCTCGATCGTGGTGAATCTAGTAGGATTTGTGATTTAAAATTTTTTAAGGGAATTGAAATTCATCCCGAATATCCTTTCTAAATTTATATTATATTATATTATAATATTATAGATAATATGATTTAATTTTAATAATTAATTTTAATAATTTTAATGTAATTCATTATATTGCATATATATAATTATGAAATATAAATAACAATAATGATTTACTTACTCGGAAGATGTATTTTTATAGTATTATGTAGAAAAAAGAATAATTTTATACAAATAAATAAATATCTATTAATTTTGTGTGTGTTTTAAATTATTTAAAAAATTATAATTTTAGAAATATACCAAAATAATATTATAAATAGCAATAATTAATTTTCATCGCGGAAAGGTTAAAATCGTGGATGTGAATTTGGATACATGGCGATGTATTTGTATTAATATTTAATAGGTAGCACATAACTTATAAACATATAGACTGAAGATATTAAAAATCTAGTTAGAAATCTCGTGTTCGATAATAGCACTATATGATATTATTTTATCTCTATCTTAGATCATACATATTTATAAACACAATTTTAGATACTTTGAAGTAAAGATAAAATCATTTATGTATATATATTGCATGTGATCAAAGTAATGACAGAAATTTTCAAAACAATAAATATTTATGTTTAATCAATATTAAGTCTGAAATTTATATTTTATCTTATTTTATGTTAATTTAATTTTTTCTCTATTAATTTGTATTTTATTTTTATAATTTTAAATCATTATGATATTTTGAAAATTATAATTTTTTTTAAAAAAAATATTTTTTTTAAAAAAATAATAACAACAATACACAAATATTTAGACAAAAATTATTTATTTATAATTATATTGTATAGATTTTAAAATAATATAATTTTTTAAAATTTATTTCTTATTCTATTATAATTTATTAATAAATTATTTTCTTTATAATACAATTGCTATAATACAAAATAATATATCGCAATAATACAAAATATTAGATATATTAAATTAATACATGTTTATTAAAAATTTAAAAATTATTAGTAATTAATAATTCACAAATGATATATTTTCCGTTATTTTATTCTTGCTTTAGTTTGACTCATAATTCTTTATATATGAGTGCTATCTATAAGTATATAGTTTAAGCCTATAATAATAAAAGATATATATACACATAAGTATTAAAGTTGTATTCTCAATAAAATGGAATATATGTAATATTAATATCATGTAAACTTTTATATAATAATATATTAATTATATTCAAGTTCATAAAAAAATTAATTTCGTTTTTTTATAATTTTTATTTTTAATTTTAAATTATGATTTGTGATAATCGAAAATATATCTTTTTCTGAAATGTAACTTTTACATCATATATATATTAAGTTCAAGCTCATATTTAATAATGTGTTGTGTCAACAATAAGAACGCTTTTATAATTGTTAAATAACAATTTATAATGTTTCACACATAAAAGGAAATTAATTAAAGGTAAAAAATTGTTATTAACAATATAATTTTAAATAATTTTTATCTAAATTATATTAAATATTATATTAAATTATTTTAAGATTATATTGCCACTCCCTGACACCTCATTTATGTAGTTATTTGAAATATTTTTTTTATATATAAGTATATTTTAAATTTATTTTATAAGAAGGAAATTTTTTTGGCAAATATTTTATGTTTTATTGATGAATTTTTATTTTCTTAAATATTTTGTTTTATTTATATATAATTAATAAAATAAAATATATAATAAAAAATTCAAATAAATTCAATTTTCAAAATTCGATTTTAA